ATAGCTAAGTTAGCCAGAATTTGTTAGTTATTAAATAGACTTTGTTGTTCAGTTGTTTTTTAGTCATGTCTGACTTTGTGATCCCATTTGGAGTTTTCTTAGCAAAGACACTGGAGTGGTTTGCCATTTCCTTCTCTAGTTCATTTTATAGTTGAGGAAACAGGTAAACAGGGTGAAGTGACTTGCCCAGGGTCACACAGCTAGTAAGTGTCTGAGGCCACATTTGAACTCAGGAACATGAGTCTTCCTGATGTCCTCTGGACACTCTCCAGCTTATCAATGTCCTTTTTATATTGTAGTATCCAGAACAGAACATAATACGGCAGATCAAGTCTGAAGAGGGCAGAGTACAGTGGCATCATCACCTCTCTTTTCCTAGAAGTTATGCTTTTCTTAACACAACTCAAAATTCTATGAGCTGCTTTGGTGGCCACATTACCCTACTGATTCAGACTGAGTTTGCATCCCATTTAAAACCCCCTAGATCTTTCTTCAGGATGACTGGTGTCTAACCATGCCTCCCTGATCTTATATTTGTGAAGTTAATTTTTTTTTGTAGCTAAATGCAAATCATTACATTTTTTCCCCTATGAATTTAATTTTATTAGATTCAGCCTTAGATATCAGCCTGTTAAGATCTTTGTGGATGCTGACTCTATCATCCAGTGCTTTAGCTGTCTCTTTTACCTGTGTATCACCTGCAAACTTGAGGACTGTAGTTGGTTTTGGTCAGGCCCTGATGCCAAGAGCACTAAGACCTGAATACTGTACAAAGTTCTAGAATGAAGAAGTACCTCAGAGGCCTTAACTAAGTGGGAGAAGGAAAACAAAGCTAAAGGGGAGGAAGCGAAGAATGATCCAAAAAAAAAAAATCAGGTTATAAACTAGATGAACCAGCCCTGACAGGTCTCACATTCCAGATTTGATTTAGAATGAACATCCTCAGAATTTTGTTGCTGTTTAATCATTTCAATTGTGTCTAGAGATACTGGAGTGGTTTGCCATTTTCTTCTCCAGCTCATTTTACAGATGAGGTAACTGAGGCAAACAGGGTTAAGTGACTTGCCCAAGGTCACACAGCTAGTAAGAGCCTGAGGTCACACTTGAACTCAGGTGTTACTGACTTTAGGTTCAATGCTCTATCCACTGTGCCACATAGCTGCCCTTATCCTCAGAATACAACAATGCTAATCATACCTTTACTGAAACTCATCAAAAGACACAAAAATCAAAGGTAAGTAATACAAAATCAGAACCAAATAACACTCAGCAGACAATCCATTCCTTCCTTTCACTGTCCCCCCTTCTTTTTCCTCTTCCTTCCTTTTCTTCTCCCTTTCCCCTCACAGAGAAGTACATTTTATGTCCCAATAGCATCAGCTGGCAGAAGGTCAGGCACTCGGTGGGTCAGAGTAGCAAAGACACCTTCTCCCTGTGATTACTTTTCATCCCCCCAAAGCAAGGTGCCCCATCAATCCAAGGGTTGTTTAGGCATTTGTCAAAACGGGACCTATGTGCCTTGGGGCTGTATGTGTCTGGACATCTGGACATTCATTCCCCCTTAGTACTGTGAGTTTTGTCAAGACCCTGCTGCAAACACCAGTAAGACCTGATTGCTGCATACAGACGTAGAATGAGGAAATATTCCCAAGGCAACTGATAGAGTAAGACTTTAACTAGATGGGAGCAGAAAAACAAAGCTGAAGAGGGGGAAAGTCCAGGAAAACAGCATTACAGACTAGGGGAAGAGGACAGCTTGGAGACATCTAGCTCAAAGTCATGTAGAACCTTTCTTGACAACTTCCCAAGCTACATCTAGAGCCGACATGAGATCCAGATTTTGGGGATAAAAACAGTTGTGTGGAAGAGAGTGTCTTTGATCCTCTGACCTGGTGAGACCCTCACCTTGTGCAGGCTGCTGCTGTTAAGAGCTAGGATGAGCCTCTTTGTGAGTGTGTGTGGAGAGAGACAGAGAGACAGAGAAAGGAAGGAAAGAAGGAAGGAAGCATGAATGGAAGAGGGAAAAAGAGAGGGAGACAGAGTAACAGAAAGAGAAACAAAGACAGACAGACAGACACACTCACACAGAGACAGAGAGACAGAGACACAAAGAGACAGAGACAGGCCATCCACTCAGTTCTGAATCCATCTAATTGTATTATATTCTAATTCATTTCTCTACATTTTCTACACGTGTGATAGGAGATACTTCATCAAATGCTTTACTAAAGTCTGTATCAACTACACAGCATTCCTCTGATTGTTAGTAATCTTGACCCTATAAATAAATAGATAAATAAATTAATAAATGGGTAGATAAATCAGTGAATAAGGTTAGTTGACATGACCTGTTCTTGAGATCGCTACTTCCCTTTCTACATGTTCACTAATATTCTCTTTAATGACCCATTCTAGAATTTTCTGAACAATCAAAGTCAAGTTTATTTGATGATAGTTTACAGACTCCATTTTCTTCCTGTTTATGAAAATTGGGACATTTTCACTTCTTCAATGTTTTGCTACCTTGGGGGCAGCTAGATGGCACAGTGGATAGAGCACCGGCCCTGGAGTCAGAAGGACCTGAGTTCAAATCTGGCCTCAGACCAAACACTTGACACTTACTAGCTGTGTGACCATGGGCAAGTCACTTAACCCCTATTGCCTTAAAAAAAATATTTTGCTACCTCTCCTGGTTTCCATGATCTTTCAAATATCACTGATAGTAGTTCAACCATAGCATCTGTCATTTCTTTCAGGACTTGAGGAAGTAGTTCATCTGGGCAAGGTGACTAGAACTAATCAAGGGCTTTCTAATTGATTTGGAGTATCAGCTTGGTGTTAGTCATTTTCTGCCATTTCTAGTGCAAAGATCATTGTGCTTGACAGAGAAAACAGAAGGAAAATAAGAGCAGAGCAGTTCTGTCTTCTGTTTGCAGTTATTGCCATCCTATCCACTCCTTACAAACGTCTTCTACTTTCTTTGATCCTCCTTTTTCTCCTGATAGAGCTAAAAACCAAACAAATCAAACATACTACCCTTTTAATTGTTTTTAGCTCGCCACCTAAGCCTCAGATCACTCTGAGATTCAGCACTTCTGACACTATTTTTAGAGGACTAGTTGATCCATTTTCTGTATTTTTCTTCTAAAGATTTAAGTTAATTAGTGAGTTCCCTGTGCATCTACATCAGTCTCTTTAGACAAATCACATTTTCCTACTAATTTCATACTTTTTTCCCTTCCTCCATGGTTTTAGTATTTCTTCATCCTTTGGTTGACAATTTTCTTTCTCCAAGAAGCATGCTGCTGAAGAAATCTCACTCTAAGGAGGCCAAATTCTGAATTCTCCAATATGGAGACAAATTGACATGAGCTGGTGTTGCTGCCCAGGAAATTGCCCTTCTCTGGCTAAAGGGCTAGATTCCAGTATCTCCCTGACTAGGGAATTCAATTCAAAGGTCTCTCTTCTTTACAGAGGAAATTGACTCGGTAACCTTGCCCTTCAACTCTATGGCCACAGGCAAGCTCATTTGTTCAGGACTTCGAAATCTAAGTCTTCACTATCTGTCATATACTCCTGGAGGAGGGAGGAAGAAGAAATCTTTTCCCTCTGGCCTAAAAGGAAGGTTATTTTTGTGCACTATGCTGCGGAAGCTTAATGAAGAGGGAGCAAAAGCGAATCACCTAGTTTTTGGAGGAAGGGTGGCTCTTCTGATAATATCTTTGCCGTATCCACCCAGTTGCCAACCACCTTGGAACCAATCCGAGGGGTTTCCTGCAGCCTCTCCACAAGGCTTATGTCTACTCTCATTGGAGGTGCCCTTTAGACGAAGGACCACACCCTTTAACATCAACAAATTGGGACTGTCAAATTAATGAGGGACTTACTTGATCACCTCTCCTTACAGCAGTCACTGAAATCACCCAATTTAGGATTGATTCAGCTACTCTGTCATTAAGTTAAATAACGCCCTGAGTGCGGAAGTACATTCTGAGCCACATATGCCAATTACAGCAGGATCCTGTCTTTGAGACACTTTGCTTTATCACAGCGGGCCTCCATAGCTTCTGCAGCCAAAGAGTTCACAGGGAACACCAACAATTTAACTTTGCAGCCACTGAGTTCTTGTGTGCTTGTGGTTGTCTCGACCCATTCCAATGCTTGTGATAACTGATATTTGTACATTGGAGTCAAGCTCTGCTTTTGTTCACTAGAAATCATCCCTTGTTCATTTCAGTTAAGCAAGCATTTATTAAGCATCTGCTGAATGCTCTATGGCCACAACGAACTTGCATACGACCATGGAGTTCAAGGGCAGGATTACTGAATCACAACCTCCTCTGTCGAGGAAAGGGGATTTTTAATTGAATTTTCTAGAATAATCATCTATCAAGCACCCGCTGGATGCACAGTGGGGATACAGAGACGCAGCCCCAGACGTCTATACTAAGGGAAGACGTGTATATCGATAAGAAAATCCAAAACATAGCGTGTCTCTAGTTATGTTGCTTCGGTAGATAATAACAGAAATGGAAAAATCAATTAAGTCTACAGGCATTTATTAATTGCCTACTATGTGCCCTTGCAAAGCGCTGGAAGCTGGAAAGGCTTTAATCATAAGATTGCATCCACTTTGAAACAGATGTTGCTCTTCGGTCCATTGTCTAGCACCTCTACGCCAATGCAGTACAAGAACGCATTGGGATATGTACCAGGAGGACCCTGATAAGTGGTGCGCAGTGCGCATGTGTACCGGCAGCCTCCTCAGACCCCGTACCGCCGCTCAGGACTCCTCCGTGCCAGGAGGGGGCGCTCGGCCCAGACCCGTCCCGGGCGCTCTCCCTCCCAATCCTCCGCACCCCGGGCCCCTCTCTGCCCTCCTCTTCCCCTCCCCCGTTCCGCCGCTTTCCGTTTGCGGCCTGCCCCGCCCCCGTTGCCCCTGGCGGCTCTTTGTTGACTTCCGGGAGGTGGGGAGCGCGCTTCCCCGCCGATGCCCGGAGCCGCGCCATGCGTACCGTGGGGGCCGCCAGCGAGGAGGACGGGGCGCAGCCTTAGACCGTGCAGAGCCGCCCCCGACATGGTGGAACCCGAGGAGCTGGTGCCGGGTGAGCATCGCCGGGGCGGGGGGGGCCGGGCCTCGCCCCCCGCTCCGCCTCCCCTCCTCTCCCCCGCTCTCCGTTCCGCCCCGCGGAGGGCCCGGAGGTGACGGTTTGAGGGGATGGACGCGGGCAGGAGGGTCTGGTGTCGGGGATGGGATAAAGGCCCCGAGGCTGGAGACGTGGCTGAGGCCTAAGGGAGCGTAGAGAATAAGCACTAAGCCACCTCCACCCCCAGGAAAGTATAAGGTCTTTCTGGGGAGCCCTCGCACCTTTGGGGAGCCCCCCAGGCTTACCCACGGGAAGCATGAAATCCTGTTTGATCAGCCCAGAGAGGGCTAGGTGACGACCGGAGTCACACAGCTGGTTAGTTGCCCCACGGGCGGCTCTTTTCCCCCCTCCCAGTGGTCCTTAAAGGATGTGGCTCTCATGATATAGTCTGGGGAAGTAAGTAAGCGATTGGTCTTCTGAGTTGGAGTCAGGCTGTGCCTTTGTTTGTTGGTAAGCATCAGCTCTACAAGCATCTATTCGGCACCTGCTGGATGCAAAGTGGGGATACAGTGACAAAATATTCAAGCTTCCGGGAGCTTGAAGCCTGTACTTGGGGAAGACAACGTGTACACCCATGGCTAAATCCAAAACACAGATGAACACCCAATTATGAGAATTGGGGAGCAATCATTTATTTAAGATATTCCTCATTAGGACCTTATCGAAAGCCCTACCAATGGTTTTTGGTGAATGTTATAAATTGTGTGTTTTGTATGTGTTTGTGTGTGTGTGTGAGCAGTAATTGGGATTGGATGGGTTTTTCTCTTCCTTCTCTACACCCCCTACTCTTGCTACAAATGTTGCTGGGGCCAAAAAGTTTAAGAGCTACTTGCTAAGAGGCTACACTATTTAATCAGTGGTATAATTGATTGTTTGTTAATTGGATTATATCAGATGAAAAAGTGGGGATTGGGTGGTAAAGGTAGTGAAGAGAGGGCGATGGAAATGGGTGAACCTGATCTGACAAGAGCCAAAACTAGCAGGGACCTGGGGTCTCCTACTATAGAAGTTAGTTTTCTTCAGGAAGGGATCTTGGAGATCTGTTCCAATCCCCTCAGTTTGCAGATAGGACTCTGAAGTCCAGAAGGGTAAGTAATGTGATCAGGGTCATAAAGCCTTAGTCACTTTCTTCTGCATCACTCTGCCTGCTGAGATTTTGGAAAAGTAGCTAGGTTAGTAGGTTATTAAAATGGGAGTCTGTAACTCTGGATTTCTTTCTTTAATCCTCCCTGAATTCTCTGGGCAACTATCAACCCCTCGAGTATCTTGAGCTTCCCATCTGTGATTCTCACTGATCTCAAGGCAATGGTAAATAAAACAGTTTTCTGGCAAGGAAATTATTGAAAAATAGAGTATTATTTTCTAGTCACAGTAGAGACACAGGGCAGCTAGGTGGCCACAGTGCCAGTCCTGGTACAGGAAGACTCATCTTCTTGAGTTCAAATCTTGTCCTCCAACACTGGTTATGTAACCATGGACAAGTCACTTAACCCTGTTTATCTCAGTTTTCTCATTGGTAAATGAGCTGTAGAAAGACATGACAAACCAGTCCAACATCTTTGCCAAGAAGACCCCAGATGGGGTTTTGAGGAATCATACATGACTCAAACAACTGAACAACAACAGAAAGGAATAAAAATTGAAACTGGAAGTCTGTGTTTGAAATTACTTTATGTTATTGAAAACTTCTTAACTTTATGCAGTAGCTTGTATTCTGACCTCTGTCTTCAGATTGGTCTTTGCTCAATATCTTTGAAATGGGCAAATCTTTGACTTCCTTAATCTCCTTTCCCTCCTTCTATTTTTATTCCTTATCTCCTGTATATTGGTGTCTCCTCTCCTCAGCCTTGCTTATGATTGGAGGGTTCCAGTCTTTTTATTCTGTTTAATTTTTGGCTTAAACAATAATTTATAATTTTATATGTACTTAACACAAATTAGCTGAAGGTTTAAAAATATTTAATGTAAGTTCAGATAGTGAAGAGAATTAGGGGAAAAAAACATATAACCACCTATTTTATCATTTAGCCAACAAGCTTTTCTTAAGTACTTACTTACTTTACATTTATTAAGTGCTTACTGGGGATTTAAAGAAAGATAAAACAAGGCTCTGCCCTTAAAAAGCTTACGTTCTAATTGGGATTGGGGAGACAACGTGTGAAAAACTAGGTCAGTATAGCTCAAAATAGTTAGAAGATAGTCTCAGAGGGAAAGGCAGTAGGAGTTGAGGAGAAGGGGAGAGTCCTCCTTGAAGCGTAAGGTAGAATTTGAACTATCAGTCAATAAGCATTTATTAAGTGCTTTTTATGTGCAAGACATTGTGGTAAGTACTAAGGATACAAAGAAAGGCAAAAGACAGCCCCTGTTTTCAAGGAACTCAATATAATGGGGAAGACAACAGGAAACAACTGTGTACAGATAAGATGTACACAGGATAAATTGGAGATCATCAGTAAAGGGAAGGTTCTAATAAAGGGTATCAGGAAAGGCTTCTCACAGAAGATAAGATTTAGCCTGGGTTTGGAGAAAGCTATAGGATCCAGGAGGAGAAATGTGGAAGGATGGAGCGTCTTGCACAAGGAACAGCAAAGAGGCCAAGGTCATGTGATTGAAGAGTACATGGTGGGAAGGTATAATAAGATTGGAAAGGTGTGAGGAGGCCAGGTTGTGAAGAGCTTTGCAAGTGAAAGAGAGAATATTATATTTTATCGTAGACGTAATAGGGAGCTACTGGAATTAATTTACTAGTAGTTGACATGGTCAGACCTGTAACTTAGAAAGGCAACTTTGTCAGCTGAACGGAGCGTGGACTGGAGTAGGTAGATACTTTAGTGGGCATGACAGTAGATGAAGATCCAGCAAAGGAGACAGAAAAGAATCAAGCGGGATGAGAACCAGGAAAGAGATCAGTGGGACAAAAACCTAGGGAAATGAAAATATCAAGGAGAAGAGGATGATTAGATGTTGTCAAAGGTCAATAGAGGTAAAGAAGGATGAGGATTTGGTAAAAAATACTAGAGTTAGCAATTAAGAGATCATTAATAACTTTGGAGAGAGTAGTTTCACTTGAGTGATAAAGTTAAAGCCACCCTGAAAGACAGTGAGAGGAAAAGGAGTGGAGGAATTGATTATAGTTAGACTTCTGAAAGAGTTTTGCTACAAAAGGGAGACAAGATCTTTGTCAATAATTAGTGCAGATTGACAGAACAAGTGAGCATTTTTTGAAATGGGGGAGACACTTTTTTTAGTCAGTATGAAAGCAGCCAGTAGACAGGGAAATAACGAAGATAATTGGGAAGGTGAGGATGATGGAAGGGGCAGTATGCTGAAGAAGATGGGATGGAATGGGGTTACTTGCATATGTGGAAGAGTTTGCCTTGGCAAGGAGAAGGGCTGCCTCTTCTTATGAGACAGGGGTAAAGGAGGAGGTAGTCACAGAAGGCATCTGGGGGATTGACATGAGGAGGAGAATAGAGGGAGTTCTTGTCAATTGACCTTTTTTTTTCCCCCAGTAAAATCTGAGGCAAGGTTTTTGGAGTAGGGTAGGGAGAGAGAGAGAGGTATGGTAAGTTTGAGAAAGAATGTCAAAAGTTTGGAAGAGCTGCTGTGGTGACTGGATTTTGAAGAATTGTGTTGCTGTAGTGAGGTCCCAGTTAAGGTTATATGACAGAAATTTGTAGTGGACTCAGAACAGTTAGGTGGTTTTCTCCAGCTTTGTTCAGTAGCCTATGTATAGGAGTGAGATCCGAGGCTTAGGATTGTCAGGGAGAGACTGTTGATATGTTAAGGGGCGAGGGACTCAAAAGAAGAGAAAAATGTAGAGTTAAACTGGTTCGCCAAAGTAGCATAGCTAGTGCAAGGATGATAGCTTGGGAAAGGACTGAGAGAGGTTCAGGCATTGAAAAAACAACTCAAAACCAAATTTGGAGTTGCAAAGCTTAGGGAGAGGTCAAATGACAATTGGTTGTGATAGATAAGGGAATTTCAAAGTTCATGAATATTGAAATGGGACTTCTGTGGGTGATGGCAAGATCAAGAGTATGACCATCTTTGCATGTGGGTAAGATGGAGTGGAGGAGTAGGCTATGGGAAGTGCAGTTAAGGTGAGGAATTGTAAAGTTGTGGTGTTTGAGGGAGCATCTGTATGTATGTTGAAGCCTTCTAGTATAAGATAAGGAATTGAGAAAGAGAGACTCACTGAATGTGTTGAGGAAAGAAGGAGAGTGTTCTAAAGGTTAGTAGATAACAACTACCAGAATTTTCATTGGGTGGTAGATATGGATAGAGTAAACCTCAGAGGATGAGAGGTTGCTGAGTGATGATAGTAGGGGAAGAACCTGAAAGTGGTAATGGAGAGCAAGGAGTATTCCAACTCCTCCCTCTCAGACAGTGAGTGAGGAGGTGGGGGTAAGGGAAAGTGCAGTCAGTACTGGGAATGGTGAACAGGGAGACTTATTAGGAGGGAAGTTCACTGTTCTTAGTGAGGCGGAAGAAGTGGGAAAGGAAAAGATTGAAGATGAAAGCAAGTTTGTTACCTGCAGGGCATTCCAGAGAGTACAGTAGAAGGCATAAGTAGCTTTAGAGTGGGACATTGGACGGAAGGATTGTTTTATGAGACACTGAATGTTAGCAATCAGTCAGTGGTTACCTTTATCAAGAAATCTTATATGATCTTGATGTTTGCACAAGAGACTCCTTGTTGAAGTGACAGCCTCTATGACTATTTTGTTCTACTGAGTCAAATGCTTTCTTATTAGTTGTATGAAGAAGTTGTATGATGTGCAGAATCTTTTATGAAAGCTTAACTGTTTTCTTCTCATATTTTGATCATTGATACTTTCAGAATGCATGAGGCATTCTCATAAAGATTTTATAAAGAAGAGAAAGGTCTGTTGGTCAGTAGTTATTAATGTTCTCTCTAGAACTCTTATCTTTTTTTTTTTAATATTAGTATCATCCATATTTTCCTGCATTTTCTTGTTATCGTTCCTCTCATTAGTATCCTGTAAAGGAATCCTTTAGTGCTGTCAAGGTAGTATAACTACCAGCACAGATTTCTTTAGTGTATGCTTGGTTTAGTCCAGTTGTTGTTTTTTTTCTCTTCCCGATTTTACTGCCTTTAGAGCTTTCTTCTTAGTATAATGTTGGGTACTAAATTGTTAAAGTCCAAAATTATGTTTCTTTTATCACTGATGATGAAAAATAGATCATTATAGGAATGTTGACAAACTTGTTCCATTTTGCTTCTATTTTGTTTCCTTCTACCGGCATCATCCATATATACTTTTGGTTGATATGGCTTATTTGATTCTCATATCAAAGCTTTCTCTAGACCTGTTTTTCCTTCCACTCTTTAGGATGATGTCTGGTGCAGGGTCCAAATGGAAATAGGATTCCCTATAGAGGGTGAGTTCTTTGGCATACTCCATACATGGATGATAATGTGCTGTTTTCATGAAACCTAGGATATCATAGGGCTTCCAGTGAGTTGGCTTAGTAGCCAAAAGCGATTGGCTTAACAGTCGATGCAGAAAAAAACTAAGTGAATGAATAATGCCAATTGTGCAGATTGCAACATGTAGTTGGATGGCCAGTCCTTTGAGTTAGTACATGAGTACAAATATTTGGTATAGGCATTACAGATGGACAGTGAGTTGAACCCAGAAATGAATTACATTTAGGAAATTATGTAATACTTTTATCTATTTCAAGCTGATCCTTGGTGCAAAAGTGCATCTTTTCAACACCTGCATTCTCCCTGCAATTCGGTATAGCTGAAGATCTCAGAACATAACAATTTCTGAGGAATAAAATTTTAGATGACCCAAATAATAGAGAAATTCACAATGGGTTCAAGCAAGATATAGTATGTTTCTAGTATTGAGACCATGGCCAGGAAATACAGAAAGGGATATCACTGAAGAAATAAACGTAGAGTCAGTAAAGGAGGTAGGCTGGTCATGTGGCCAAGAGGAAAGCATGTAGCAGTTCTGCTGTGCCAGTGCTCCACTTCAACCACAAAATGTAAACAAACAAAAAACCACAGAGGAAAGCTTCTAGCATTATTAGAAGGCCAATAGAAGAACACAGATAAAAATTGTGTAGAATCAAGAAAGCTTGTCATCTGTGTCGTGGAGGGAATACTCATTGATCCATTAAAGCATTGAAAAGCTGCAGTATTTTAGAGGAAGCAAATTATGTCTAGTATTGACATTTTCTTACAGCCTTTTTGTTTATGTTATGCAAAACACCAAGGTTTCGTGGAACATAGTTTGGAAAATGCTGGCATAGAAAACAGGTTCCTGTTGCCTTTTGCAGGCGTTTGTTGTTCTTTTTTTCCTAAAATGTGCAATCACAGTGTGATCACTGCAAGGGTAGTGTTATCTCTGCTGGCTAAAGCCATTAGAACCATACGGTTCCTTTGCTTTTCATATTCTTTATTTTCCCAGGTCCTCCATATTAGAGATGACATAGGTGAAATGTTACCTTTTTCGATATTGATACCAGCTTTGGAAATTCTGTCATCTTTACTAATTGGGGTGTAGGGAAGAGGCTTCCTCTGTCAAAGGGCTCCTGTTCCATGACCAAATCCCCAGGATTGAGGTTTCGCTGGTAGCATAGGGGAACCCTTTGTTGAAAAGTATGAGGCAATGGATACAAAAAAATATCAAGTAATAGCTATTAATCATCTTTTATATTCAGAGTACTGTGTGTTTGCTGGGGGTGGAGGTTGGTGAGAGATATAAAGATTATAAGACATAGTCCCTTTTCTTGAGTTCTACAATCTAGTTGGAGGGATTGGAACGTATAAGTAAAAAAATATTTTACAAGTTTGAAACAGTAATAGAAAGGATGTCTTAGGGTAGCACATGTCTGCCAGATGAATGATGCAGATTATCATCGAAGCTCAGAGAAGGGGGGTGTCATTTCAGGCCAGAGAATTCAGAAGATAAGATGGGATGTGATCGTGGTGAGGTCTTGGGTTAATGAGTATGAAGTCGTAGTTCACCAGAGACCCTTACCAAACAAACAGAGTGATCCATTAGTGGAGGTGAGTTCCAGAGCAGAGGTTCCTAATCTTTTTGTGTGTGTCATGGAATCCTTTGACAGTGTAGTAAAACCTATGGATGCTTTCTCAGAATGATGTTTTTAAAGACATAAAATAAAATACATACGATTATAAATGAAACCAATTATATTGAAATAATTGATAAAATAGTTATCTCTGTGTATTTATGTGTGTTTATACATATATAACAACTATACACACACACACATATATGTATGTGTGTATATGTAAATAAGGCTTTCTGTTCACAAATTCCATATTTATGACAGATGGGGAAAAACACACAATTGGTGCCTGAAAAACAATGTACTAACAAAAGATTGGTTTCTGTAGGTTACTGGCTCCCTTGAATTAGTATATTTCTTCTTTAATTCAATAATAATGCAATCCTAGACTTTATTGGGAGTTGTAGTTCTGAGGACTATTTAGGTCGTGCTATTAAACGTTGACCTGGTTAGATCATACTTAGAGTATTGTGTTGAGTGCTTGACACCACATTTTAGGAACAATTTTAATAAGCTGAAGAAAGTAACCTGAAGAGGACAACCAAGATGGTGAAGGACTGTCTTATCCTATGAGGATCATTTGAAGGCATGAGAGATGCTTATTCAGCAGAAGAGAAGACTTGGTGTGGAGTCAGACAGTTGGAAGTTGTCACATAAAAGATGGGATAGGTTTGTTCTGTTTGGTGTCATATGGTAGAATTAAGAATAAGGAGTGGAAGTTTCTGGGAGATAAACTTAAGCTGATTTTTAGGAAGAACTTCCTTAACCATGACAACCATCTATAATTGGCTTCATGGGATAGTGTGATTTCTTGTGCTTGAAAGTCTTCAAGAAAGCTGTATTAAACACTTAGTACAGAGGGGCTTCTTTTTTGGGGCCACTTGGGAATAAATGGCCTCTAAGATCCCTTCCAACTCTGAAATTCCCTGATTCGGTCAATATTAATAGATTTGTTAAAGAAAATAAATTTAACTCATTATTAGAAGAATGAAGACATAAATAATATTAGAGCAGATTGAAGTGTTTTTTTGTTTGTTTTAATTTTGATGGACAATGTAGTAGAAATTCTAAAATAGAAAATATTTGTATTTAAAGATTCAGGTGCTGTTTTCACTTTTGGAAAAAGCAAGTTTGCAGAAAATATTCCCAGCAAGTTCTGGTTAAAAAATGACATACCTGCATATCTATCATGTGGAGATGAACATACTGCTCTTATAACAGGTCAGTAAAACCCTATATGGTGAAAATAAAACTTGGGAAACCTATTTTCTTGTATTTATACAGTTGTAACCTGCTTTTAGCAATGTGATATATAAACACCTAGAAAGAATAAGAGTGATTATTCACTTGACCAAAGGACTCACCAAAGATTTACGTTAATTATAAGTTCTGTTACTAAATTTACAGTACGATGAATCTTACCTACAATTTTCTAAGAGTAGATCGATTGGATTAGTAAGGTCATCTCTTTAATATAAAAAAAGTTATTGTATAGGAGTAGAAATTCTATTGTGCCCAATATAATTTAAACATAAGTAGGTATACGAAGTAGCTTAATTAAAGGTATGATACAGCGCTGTTTTTCCAAGTATGGCTTACCTGAAGGTATGTGATCTTGTCTAACATTTTATGTTTAGGATGATCAATTTTGTTAATTTCCTCTTCTTTTTCAGGAAATAATAAACTTTACATGTTTGGCAGCAACAACTGGGGCCAGTTAGGATTAGGATCAAAGACAACAATCAACAAGCCAACTTGTGTAAAAGGTTTGTTTGCTTTTTTATTCTTTGCCCATTTAACAAGTAACTTACTAATAAACCATTAAAGGACTGTTAGAGTTTTTTTGGTTTACTTTTATTTTTGAAGTCCTATAAAATTCTTATGAAATTAGTTTTTAGTTTTGTCATTAATTGTGTAATATAATAAAAGTTTTAAGATTAACTTGAAAAAAAAATTTTCCCTTTGTCAGAACCTATGATTTCATCAGTGTGGGGAACACCTGGTGAGGAAACCGTTGAGCACCTTACATCCTAGGAAAGTTGCTTGAGGCTCTGAGGAGTCAAATAACTTGATCAAGGTCACATGACTGAAATGTTTCTGAGGCCAAAATTGAGCCCATTTTTTCCTGTCTGTCCACTATACCATACTGCCTCTCATGATTTTAATGTTAACTAATATTTAGAATTTTAATGTACGTGACATTCAAGAAGTTACTATGTTCTAGTGCCTCAAATTCAAATTGACCTTGATGAGGCAGCTAAGTGGCATGATGGATGATGCTGGGACTAGAATCAGGAAGACCTGAGTTCAAATCCTGCATCAGACGTTTACTAGCTATGTGACCCTGGGCAGGTCACTCTGTCTGCCTCAGTTGGGGCTAATAATAGCACCTACCTCCAGGATTGTGGTTAAGATTGAATGAGATAGATATTAAAGATATTTGAGATATTAGCACAGTGGCTGGCATGTAATAGATGCTATCATTATTATTTATTGTCATCATCATCATCATCATTATCATCTTGATGATCACAAGAGGTATACAGGGTTTTTTCCTAATTCGCTTATTTTGTATAACTCCTTTCATCTGTTGCCTTACTGTAGATCTTGAGCTCTTTCTTGCTAGAGATTTGACATCAGATTCTATGTAATTTCTAGTTATACATAGTATACTTTCCTATATTATATATTATAAATTGATCTCACATGCTAAAATCTTTAGTTATGTATCAGTCAATCAACAAGCATTTATTAAGCACTTACTATGTGTCAGACACTGTAATATATGGTCATATATATCAAACTAAAAGATAGCTTAAAAGATTAATGGTGATAGAGCTAGAAACAGGGTTTTTTTAAAATAGTGAAAGTTCTAATTTCAAATTGTAATCTTAATGTGAATTGTTTTTTATGTCAATCCAAATTGGATTTTATATATTAGTCAAAACAGTAAATTCTTGAAAATGTATAGGCAGCAAAGACATTATCTTTGTTATCATATCTCTTATAGTGTGATAGGGGAGAAAATAGGCCAACATGAAATTAACCTAAGTAATTATAGATTATAAAAGAATTACAACAATCTAGTGACTAGATAAAGGGAAACTATTAATTGAGGAGAAAAGTAGATGATGAGTGGAAGATAGTCAAGGAAAAAACAAACTTTTTTGAAGGATAAGGACTTCAAATTGAGATTGAAAGGAGAGTGAACTGATATACACATATATATACACACACACACACAAACACACATAAGTAATGAGCCTTGGAAAAGGTCTTGGAGATGGAAGAAAGAAATATGAAGGACAATTGTATAGACTAACTTTTGGAAAAAAGGCTCCATATGTATAAACACATATACATATACACAAATACAAATACACATACATACATACACACATATATGTATATATATTCACACATACATATATAGTCTTGGCGATGTGTGTGTGTGTGCATTCTTGGCAGTAATATGAAAAATAGAAGGATGATGGAAAGTTTTGAATGAATGAGAAAAAGAATGAAAACACATTCGTTAGGGATCTGCTGTGTACCAAGCACTGGGCTAAGTTCTAGAGAAACCAAAAGAAAAAGCTTAAACAGCCCTTGTTTTCAAAGAGCTTATTCTTGAATTTGAGGAGACCATGCCTAAAAGCAAAGTGAACTACAGGGGCAAAGAGAAAGGCCAGGAGTCAGTGCTAAGGGTGCAGCAGTGGGGTCAATGGTAAGTTTATTAGGCAGTTGAAGACAGTTGTCAGAAGTTTGTAAAAGGTACTTGAAGTCATTGATGGACTGTGAGTAGTATAATGACATGATTTAAAAAAGTTTTTTTTTTTCTGTAAGCAAAAATGAATTTTCATTTGTCAGAAACAACCTGAATATTTTTATCATTTTTTTAGCTTTAAAACCTGAAAAAGTAAAATTTGCTGCATGTGGAAGGAACCACACCTTGGTATACACAGGTACAGTAGTATATATTATGCATAATTTCTTAGCAAAAAATCTGAGGGCTAAAGTATGTGTTTTTGTGATTTTGTAAAGTTTATGGATTTTGCATACTCCCATAAAGAAGCATTATTTACTTCAGATATAGTTTAAACATTTATTCAATATTGATTCTGTACAAGTCACTGCTTTAAAGTTTCTAAGTGAAAATGTTTGGTAGAATTAAATTGTCCTTTGGAAAAACAGGCAAAATGAATATTTAATAGCAGATTTCAAATAATTTCTAGGATTATTATTTGTAAGATATCCATTTGAAGAAGTTCATTGGACTTCTTTTGTTAAGGGTTGACACCTTGCTGCATGCACTAGGGCCAGTTGCTGCTGTCACAAGTCCTTCTCCACTGCTCATGAGAACTTCCAGGAGCTGATTATCAGGCACAAGCTCAGCTGTCCCTGCCTCAGAAATCTGGGGTTGCCTCTGGAAATGGAATACCTTATTCAGAAGAAATAGGATGTGTTGAAAGGGGAGTGAGATAGCACTGTATATTACAAAAACATATTCATATGAAGTGATGCAGGAACCATCGGGGAAAGGATAGTGGAAAGCAATTGTGCAAAGATCAGTAGAAGCAAAAATGGAAGCAACATTGTCATGAGAGGAGAGTACAGACCAGCTGGGCAAAAGAGGAAGTAGGTGAGGAGTTGGGAAAAGAGATGCATGACACAGTAGTGATGAGGCACTTCACCTCTCTATCCATTTGCTGAAATTTTCTGCCAAACACAGAGCTGCTAATGTTTTTTTTTTACTTGATGTAATGTTTATTTCATTCTTCAGAATGTGAAAGAACCAAGAAAGGGAAATTCTCCTCTAGATCTGATTTTCACCAGCAAAGAGGAACTGGTTTCTAGAGCACAAATGGTGGGAACCTTGGGAGGAAGTAACTATTCCATTTTACAATTTGTGTAGAGAATGAGAGGAAATCTGGGAATAGTCTAGCATTCACTCTAGATTTTGATAAAGGAGCTTTAAAGGGGTTTAAAGGAGTCTATGGACTCCTACAGGGAAGGTTAACTGAGGAGGAATGGTAAGTAATCTAGAATGAATTCTGGAGACCCAAAGAAAAATAAATCCAGTAAGGAGACGAGGTATTCTATAGAGACCTGCATAAATGCATAGATAATTCACAATAGACTTAGAATGTAAAGACATGTACAGAAGATAGAAGCAAGAGAGGATAATGGAAAATAAATACAAAAGCAAGACAGTCTTGCAAAAAATATCAATAATACTAAAGCTCAAAATGATCTGTGGATGGCAAGAAAAGCTTAACTTGGGTATCAGCTTCCTAGTTACCGTTTTTGTCCTGTCCTTTCTAGTCCAAAGATCATTCTTCTTGGCAAAAAAAAAAAATAAAAACCCAAAAACAAAAGATAAAAATAGCTTAGCAGGTCTGACTTCTTTTGGTTCATAGTTATCATTATCTCATCCATTTAAACAGTAGTCCTTTTCCCCATCTTCACCATTTTTATTGTCACCATATCTCTTGCATGTGTCTCTCTTTTCAACTCAGACAACTGCCACCCTAGTTCCTGACCTTATTGCTTCTCATTTGGACTATTGCAGTGGGCTCCTGTTAGGTCCCCTAATACAAGCTCTCCTCTCCATCTAATCCATCCTCCCCACAGTCAGTCACAGTGTGATTTTACTAAAGCTCAGGTCTGATCAGATCACACACACACACACACACACACACACACACACACACACACACACACCTGCCTATTACCTTTAAAAACAAATCTGAAATCCTTTGTTAACATTTTAATCTTTTCATAGCATAGCTTCTTCCTATCTATCCAGTCTTCTTACACATTACTTCACTTCCCACACTCTGATCTATCCATACTGACCAGTTGCTCTTCTGTATACATAACATTCCAATTCTGGTCTTAAGAATTTTACAGAGAAGAAGAAGGTCATAATCAAGACCAGGTCATGACAGATGAAGCACATTAACTTTTTTGACAGAATTGCTAAAGTGGTAGATGTTGTTTACCTAGAATTTAGTAAAGCAGTTATTAAAGCCTCATGTGTTCTCTTTTTTAATAGTATTTTATTTTTTCCCAGTGACATGTCAAGACAATTTTTAGCATTCATTTTTACAATATTTTGAGTTCCAAATTTTTTGCCCTTCCTCTCTTCCCTCCCTTTTGAAAATGGTAGGTAATTTGATATAGGTTATACATATGCTATCATGTAAAACATATTGCCATATTATTCACAGTTGTGAAAGAAGAAATATATCAAAAGGGAAAAAATGTGAAAAAGAATAAAGTAAGTGAAAAAAATGTTTTGATCTGCAATCAGAGTCCATCAGTTCTTTATGTGGATGTAGATAGCATTTTCCTTTGTGAGTCGTTAGTAGTTGTCTTGTATTACTGTGTTGCTGAGAAAAGCTGTCATTCATAGTTGACCATCACACAGTGTTGCTGACAGTGTTTTCCTAGTTCTGCATATTTCACTTTGCATAAGTTCGTGTAAGTCTTTCCAGGTTTTTCTGAAATCTGCCTATTCATCATTTCTTATGGAACAATAGTATTCCATTACATTCATATTACCACAACTTGTTCAGCCATTCCCCGATTGATGGGCATCCCCTCAATTTCCAATATTTTACCTTCACAAAAAGAGCTGCTATAAAAAATTTTGCATGTGTAGGTCCTTTCCCCTTTTTTGTAATCTCTGGGATACAGACCTAGTAGTGGTATTGTTGGATCAAAGGGTATGTTCAATTTGGTTGCACTTTGGGCATAGTTCCGCTCTCCAGAATGTTTGGATCAGTTCACAACTTCACCAGCACTGCATTAGTGTGCCAGTTTTCCCACATCCTCTCCAACAATTATCGTTTTCCTTTTTTATCATATTAGCCAGTCTGATAGGTGTGAGGTGGTACCTCAGAGTTGTTTTAATTTGCATTTCTCTAATCAGAAGTGATTTAGAGCACTTTTTCATATGCCTGTAGATAGCTTTGATTTCTTCATATGAAAACTGCCTGTTTGTATCCTTTGACCATTTATCAATTGGGAAATGTTTTCTATTCTTATAAATTTGACTTAGTTGTCTATATATTTGAGAAATGGGGCCTTTATCAGAGACACTTACTGTAAAGATTGTTTCCCAGCTTTCTGCTTTCCTTCTAATCTTTGTTGCATTGGTTTTGTTTGTACAAAAGCTTTTTATTTTAATATAATAAAATTATCTATTTTACATTTTGTAATGCTCTCTGTCTCTTGTATGGTCATGAATTTTTCCCTTCCCCATATATCTGACAGGTAAACTATTCCTTGGTGTTCTAATTTGCTCATGGTGCCACTCTTTCTGTCTAAATCATGCACCTTTTTTGACGTTATCTTGGTATATGGTATGAGATGTTGGTCTATACCTAGTTTGTGTCCTATTGTTTTCCAGTTTTCCCGGCAGTTTTTGTCAAATAGTGAGTTCTTATCCCAAAGGCTGAGGTTTTGGGGTTTATAAGCACTAGTTACTATGGTCATTGACTACTGTCTTGTGTACCTAATCTCTTCCACTGATCCACCACTCTGTATTTCTTAGCAGTATCAGATAGTTTTGAAGATTACTGCTTTATAATATAGTTTGAGCTCTAGTATTGTTAGGCCACCTTCCTTTGTATTTTTTTTCCATTAATTCCCTTGTTATTCTTGACCATGTGTTCTTCCAAATGAATTTTGTTGTTATTTTTTCTAGCTCTTTCAAATAATTTTTTGGTAGTTTGATTGGCATGGCACTGAATAAGTAAATTAGGTTATTCAGAATTGTAATTTTTATTATGTTGGCTTGGCCTACCCATGAGCAATTGATATTTTTCCAGTTATTTAGATGTGACTTTATTTGTGTGAAAGGTGTTTTGAAATTGTGTTCAAATAGTTCCTGGGTTTGTCTTGGTAGGTAGATTCAGAAATATTTCATATTATTTACAGTTATTTTGAATGGAATTTTTCTATCTCTTTCTGCTGGGCTTTGTTGGCCATATAAAGCAATGCTGATATTTATGTGGGTTTATCTTATATTCTGCTACTCTGATAAAGTTGTTAATTATTTCAGGTAGTTTTTTAGTTGATTCTCTAGGGTTCTCTACATATACCATCATATCACCTGCAAAAAATGATAATTTTATTTCCTTGTTGCCTATTCTAATCCTTTGATTTCTTTTTTTTTTCTTATTGCGATAGCTAACATTTCTAGTACCATATTGAATAATAGTGATGATAATGGGCATCCTTGCTTTACCCCTGATCTAACTGGGGAGGCTTCCACCTTATCCCCATTACAGATAATGCTTGCTGATGGTTTTAGATAGATGCTGCTTATCATTTTAGGAACACTCCCTTTTTTCCTATGCTCTCTTGTGTTCTTCTTGTGGAAAAAAAGGTGAATAGATGTGGGTTAGATGTATAACTGAGTAGATTCTCAACCTGCTCAGTGTCATGAATAGTTCTGTGTCAGGGTTGTGGCTCAGGGAGCTGTGCATAGCTCTATACTGTTTAGCATTTTTTTTTTTTTTGGTGTAGCAATGGGGGTTAAGTGACTCGCCCAGGGTCACACAACTAGTTAAGTGTCAAGTGTCTGAGGCCGGATTTGAGCTCAAGTCTTCCTGACTCCAAGGCCAGAGCTCTACCCACTGCTCCACCTAGCTGCCCCTTTTTAGCATTTTTATCAGTTACTTAGCTAAAGATATAAATGATATACTTATGAACTTTGTAGATGACTCAAAACTGAGAAGGGATAGCTTAACACACTTTATGTCATCGTCAGGATTCAAAAGGTTTTGGACTGGCTGAATCATTAGGCTCATTCTAATAAGATAAAATTTAGTAGACATAAATATAAAATCTTAGAATTATGCTTTTGCACATTTTGAACTAGCTGTCCAATAGTCATCTCAACCTCAACATATCCAAAACACATTCTCTCCCCACCCCCCTTTCCAAACTTCCCACTTTCCATCGAAATAACCTTTATCCTGTTCGTCACTCAAATCCATAGCTAATTGATTGCCAAGTCTTGTCATTTCTACTTCACAAAATCTCTTACATACATCTCCTCCTCTTTATACACAGAGCCACCACCACCAATGTAAAAGATGGTTCCGGCCATCCCTCTCACCTGAAGTTTTGCAGTAGGTTGATCTCTCTGACTCAAGACTGTCCTTATTCTAGTCCCTACACAGTGTTGAGGCAATTCTCTTAAAGGGCAGGTCTGATCATACTGATCGTGTCGCTTTAACAGACTACTAACTCACTATTACTTCCTGGATTAAATATAAACGCTTTTTACTATTTAAAGCACTTTGTAATTTGGTCTTTCGTTTTCTTACATTATTTCCCTCCATGTACTCTGTGGTCCAGCCATATTGACCTGCTTGCCATTCTGCGCCAGGATACTCCCATCTTCCATCTCTGTGCTTTGCTCAGGTTGTTCCTTACCCAGAAGTCCCTCCTCACCTCTGTTTATCTCAAGTGCCATCTTCTGCATGAAACTTTTTCTAGTCCCTAACTATCTCTCCTGCTTTTGTGCCACTGTGCCCTCCCCCCCAGCAAGTTTACCTTTTGTCTGTTTTGTAAGTTTAGTATCTCTGTATGCACATATGTTGCTTTCCCCATTAAAATTTATCTCCTTGAGGGCAAGGGAAATAATCCCTTTGGCTTTTGTGTCCCCAGCACCCAAAATAGTGCCTGGCCCATAAGAGGTGTTTAACAAATGTTGTGTGATGAATTGGTTTCCAGATATCTATATGTTTTACAAGTACAAGCTTGTACAGGTATGGTTAGACAGCAGTTCATATAAAAAGAAAGTTTTGGGCTTTTAATGGATTAAAGGCTCAAGAGAGCCTTTAAGAGAGCTCAGGGTACATTAAGAGAGGCATGGTGTGAAGTGAGAAAGGTGACAGTTTTGCTGTACTTTGCCCTAGTGAAATCACACCTGGAGTATTGTGTTCCCACATCTTAGGAAGGGCATTGATAAGCTGAGAAGTATCTAGAGGAGACCTAGTGGGATGGTGAATGGCCTCAAGTTCATGCTTAGGAAGATCCACTGATAGAAGAAGGGTCATTGAGCATAGATAAGACTTCGAGGTTACTTAGAGCTTTCCAGTGTTTGTAGGCCTATCATGTGTAAGAGGGATTAGACTTAGTCTGTTCAGTCCCAGAGAGTGGAAATAGAAGTATTAGATTTAGATAGAAGTTGCAAGGCAGCAAATTTAGGCTTGATGTCAGGGAAAAAAGTTAGAGCTAACCAACAGTAAAATGGGCTGCTTCCGGAGCAGCTGTGGTTTCTTCCTAACGAGAGGTTATCCCTTTCACACAGAGGTGATGATGTAGACAGAATTATTCTTTGGGAATGGGTTGTCCTCTGAGGTTTCTTCTAACTCAGATTTTTTGAAACTCTCAGTTATCCAGTGATGAGTTCTTACTTAGCACTCCTTAGATTCCCCTCTGGGAAGTCAGCAACTGGCCACTAGTGGGTACACTAACATGCTAAATAGGAAGGATACATAACATGTGCATTCAAAAAGAATGACAAGCCACTCCTTTATGTGAAAGTGTTAAAGTGAAACCTGAGATTTTGAATGGCTTTTTATTTGTATTTAATTTAATAGCTAATGAAATCTTGTGGGCACAGATTGTTAGTTTTGTCTTTTGTTTCCCCAGCTCAGTGGCTCATATATAGTAGGTGCTTTATAAATATTTGTTGAATTGAATTAATTTTTCCACTTAAGATTTCTGAGTATACATCACCGTAAATTATTCTGATCAGTCTTAGTGTTGTGTAACATTTTCCTTCTATTTTTGCTCGTTAATTTTTGTTTATTATTTAGTACAAATTTGCATTACCAAATGCCACTGGATATACAGAATAAAATAAAGCCCCATTAATTTAGCTATAACTGCATTGAAATTTATTTGATAATTGGGACATAACTGGGGTGACATTTATCTTTGTATCATCATGAAAAAAAATTTCTAAGCAAAATAATAATGAAAACCCATAATAATGGAACTGTAGCAGATTTTCCCAAAATTGTTTGCAGCATTCTTTAAAAAAAATAGATTTACATTACAAAGAACTAAAGAATTTTTATTAATAATACAGTTGGTTTCAAATCGACCCTAGCTAAACATGAAACAGTTTGTACATATAAAACGATAGAATTATATCTCCTTTAAATATTGAAGAATCTAAATGATATGACTTTTATTTTTGTGATTATTTACAATTGTTTTCATGCAATTTATCTCATCTTTATATGTTAGAATAGATATGGAACTCGAAAATAATAAAAATATATTTAAAATATTCTACAGTTTGGACTTTAATTCAGGCAATATTCTTCATCCTTTGTACTCAAAATAAATAGAGTTCAGTTTTACTAAGACTACACATGCCATTCAAGTTACACATTCCAACTGCTAGTTAACATAGGAATTTAAAAAATTAATGTGAGATAAATATTCCCTCAGTTGTATTTTGTTGTTTCTGTTATCGAAACAATTTGTTGAATAAATAATAATTTTCATTTTTAACCTTGTTAACCAAAGAAATGGTAGTTATAAGGCAAACTTTTTGTCTTTCGATTTATTATTGCCATAGTAAGGATGCACATGTAGCACTTCTGTGTTCTTTTTTCTGTGTAGAAGAAGGGAATGTATATGCAGCTGGAGGTAATAGTGAAGGGCAGTTGGGACTTGGTGACACGGAAGAAAGAACTACTTTTCACCTAGTCAGCTTTTTTACATCCCAGTACAAGATTAAACAGCTCTCTGCCGGATCCAACACTTCAGCTGCACTAACTGGTAAGGCTCATGGATCACTAAATACAGAGATCCTCACTGTCCTGGTGAATCTCCTCAACATCTCTAAAAACAAACCCCAAACCCTCATGGAATTGTTTTTTTTTTTCCTTATAGGAAACATCCTATATTTTCATTATAGCTTGAATAGATCCTCTAAGATTTTTTTTTTATTTTACCATTTTGAAATCTTAAAAATTTCTTTTTATTTCACCAAGACTCTCAAATACTTACTAAACTGAAGACATCATTTCTATTTCCTTTTATTTCATAGGTCACTTGTATTTTCCAAGTAGTTGAAAATACAGATTGTAGTTGTAAAATTTGTTAGACTAACTTCATAAGTAAGTGCTTTGAAATTAGAAGGAGACATCATGCATTGAGATGTTGCTATTGTCTTTTATTTGAAAAAATTTTAAACTTTTAACATTTTCTGAAATACAGAAACTTCTTTTCAGGCTGTTAACTTAATCATTTCTTCTAGGGGACAACATTTTAACTACATGGCCTATGCAAATGTAATTGAATAGTCTTCTTTGAAACATACTTCTTTGTTCAAAGTATCATATTTACCAGTATTTCTGTTTTTGTGTATATTTAGAATATGTGTACCACTGAATGTGAATAATAAATGATTTCATCAAATATACAGTAATTTCTTTTTTCCTTTCTTTAGGATGCACTCGTTTTGAAGGTTAAGAATATCACTTCCATAATGTACTTAAAGAGCAAGAATACCATAAACCCCTTCCAAAGGGGAACCCCTCCTGAAAGTATGTAGTTTTAGCTATTAGTTCAGTTGCAAGTATGCTTTTATGAAGAGAAGAAAACATATTCTGCTTAAAGTCATTCATATAAGGAAAAGGCAGCTGTAAGGACAAAAGCATCCATTCTTCTTGTTACTAGGTTGAAAAATATGAATGTGACTGATGTCGTGTACAGCAAAATTTTCTGTCCTTAATCATTATGTAAGCACTTATTTATGGAAATTGAACTCCTAAATAGAAATTATTCTCAATATTAAGTTTAACTATGTCTCAGTGGCATTTTTTTCCTCTGGGAATTGTTGATTATTCAGAGCACATAAATACAGTGTTACAAAATCTTCTGGCAATGTTTAGTCATTTATTGGCACACTGTTTTAAGCCTTTTTTCTTGTCTTTTCGTTTTAGAGGATGGGGACCTTTTCATGTGGGGTGACAATTCTGAAGGGCAAATTGGTCTAGCAGATGAATCTAATGTGTGTGTCCCTTGTCAAGTGGTCATTGGAAAGCCTATCTCCTGGATCTCTTGTGGATATTATCATTCAGCCTTTGTAACTAGTAAGATAGTTATTTTCCATTTTACTGATGCAAACAAACTAGTTATAACTTGGGAAGATTTCTGTATAGCATGGTAATAATGCTTGTAATGAAATATTTTAAAAAGCTTTATGTTATTACATTTACTTTGTAAATGAATGTGGAATGTATTTGGAAAATTAATACATTGTTATGGTATAAAGCTTTTATAACAGTTGTTCTTTAACTTTGTGGACCATCTTAGACAAAAAGCCCTGTGAACCTTACTTCTTCCATTCATTGTAAAAAAAGAAGCAATTTCGGGGCAGCTAGGTGGCGCAGTGGATGGAGCACCAGCCCTGGATTCAGAAGGACCTGAGTTCAAATCCGGCCTCAGACATATAACACTTACGAGCTGTGTGACCCTGGGCAAGTCACTTAACCCCATTGCCTAGCCAAAAAAAACCCAAAAAAATAAACAAAAAAAAAACCAAAGATTTAAAAAAAAAAAGTTATTTCACTCAACCCAAAGAACGTTAGTTACCCTTGTCTCTTGTATGCCTAACCTCTGTCACCTATTGTTATGAAAGGAAGTATGTTATAATGGAAAAGGACAACAAACAATGAAATACAGATTTCATTAATGCTGGCCTGGAACGCAGAAGAGGAAGATCCCTCTACCAGTGCAGGCTGGTACCTTCTCTTTAAGTTAGAGTCTTAAGTAGTTACTTACAACTTGGAGAAGCTAAATGACTTTCCCAGAGTCACACAGCCATTATGTGTTACAGGCAGAACTTGAACCCAGGCATGCCTCACTTCAAGGCCAGCTCTCCCCTATAGCACATCAGAAAATATTTTTTAGCACTATTTAGTTAACAGAAATCTTACCTTTATTTTTTATAAAAAGGAATATGCATACGGGTGTTTATGAGTTATATATATATATTTATTTAGCATAAATAAGTGCTTTAAGTTAGACTTTGAAAATTAATTTGTTCCTTAGTTTCTGTGGATGTTAGATGGGAGTCAAGAGTACTCGTTGGAAATATCTGTACTGGGCTAGAACCCGTATAAACTTTGGATACTCTGATATACAACCCCATGCAACTTTCTGGACCATATGCATTAGTAGTCTCTCTTGTTATTCTATTTGATTCATTCATTTCTGAGTGGAATAGGATCCCTAAGTATAATAGTACTGGATTTGCAAATATAAAATTAGGCTAGCAAGAGAGAACAGCATAATCCTGAATAAAAGGAAGGGGCAATGTGATGAAATAGAAAGAGCCCTGAATTTGGAGTCAGAGGACCTGGGTACAGATTCTGCCTCCGTCAGCCTCAGGGTGTATGACTTTGGTGAGTCACTTTATCTCTCTGGACCTCAGTGTTCTTGTATGCAAAATAAGGAAGTTGGACTTGATGACCCCTAAGGTCCAATGACATTGTTCTTCTTGGGAAGGTTTCCCCTTAACACTTTGAGTTCTTTTTTCAGATGTCAGGGCTCAGCAACTTGGGTTATAATCTACACATGGAAAACAGTAAAAACCTGATAATACGTAAAATGCTAATTTTTTCAGGTTTTCTGCTAATGTTTTAATCTACTATTATTTGTTTTAAATAACTATTATGAAACAAAGCACCTACAAGTTTTTTTTTAAACCCATCTAAGAAAAAATGTAAGAAAGATGATCTCAAAAGAGTATTATATTTGATCTGAATAAAAATTTTTCCAAATGTGAACCAGGATGCTACATAATATATGTTGTTACAATGAAAGGGGGGAGAGAAACTTTTAAAAAGGTATCAGTAGCTAGGTCCTCCTGTATTACATCCAGCTAAGTAAGGTAAACTTAACTTTCAACCTTGTAACAGACTTCTAAATAGTAAATGACATTGATCTTTGGCAGAAACAGTTTAAACTTTTGACTGTTTCCATTTTATGTGCTCTTAGTCAAATAAGGAAAAACAGTTCAGTGAAAATTTGAGTTTCTATCTAAAGTGTATAACATACTGACGTAGATCATGTTTTTGCTCAAAGACCACCGTTGAACGTGCCCACCATCTCTTGAGATGGCCTGTACCACTTAGGAATAGCTCTCATTGTTAGGAAGGTTTTCTTTACATCAAGCCTAAATTTCAGTCTGTACTAGTCCCCCCCCTTGTTCTGCCCCCTGGGGTCAAGCAGAATAATTCTATTCCTTCTTCCATGTGATAGCCTTTTAGATACTTGAAGGTGGCCATTCCTTGCCCTCTCCTTTGCCCCACCATCCTTTAAGTCTTTGTTTCTCAAGGCTCTATAACCCTTCTTCTAATTCATCATCACCTGGCATGTTCTTGAGATTTTGGGGAAGCTCTCCAGTTTTTCAGTGTTCTTCCTAAAATGTGGGACGCCTGAACTGAATTTAGCACTCCAAATTTGATTAGCATAGGTCAAAGTAGAATGGTGCTGTTACCTCCTTGAACCTGGACACTGTCTTGATGAGCCTAAGGTGGCATCATACCGTAATATGCTAGAGTATTTTATAGTGTTTTTTTTTAGTTTAAATCATCTGCCTTCGTAGGTTTCCTAAAATTCTACTTCCAAAACAGTTACAAATGAATGAAATTTGAGGACTATCCTCACCTAGAGCCACCAACAAACTATTTCTTTTAAACATTGGCAAGTTTTTTGAAAGAAATATCCATGGCAAAGAATCTATTTGTTGTCTTTTTCTGTTATAAGCATCTTGAGAACAAATAACATGTCATTTTTACTTTGTAAGTCACCTAATATGACATATATTACAAGTATACTTATGTGTATATAGACTCACATAAGAGGTAATGATTTTGTGGGTTATTAAAATAAAAACGTATCAAGGAAAAATTCATTTTTAATCCCTTGCTAAACAGTTCAGTTATATTAAAAAGGTTCATATTTTGAGAGTCACTGTTGAACATATGAACATGGACCTAGTTTAGGACCCATACTTGAAAGAAAATGGTCTGATATATTAACTTTTGGATGAAGTATGATTAGTTACTCTCCTTCATCTTCCACAGCAGAGGGCGAACTCTATACATTTGGAGAACCAGAGAATGGAAAGTTAGGTCTGTCACCTGAGCAACTGAAAAATCATAGAATTCCCCAGTTGGTTCTTGGAATTCCTGGGAAGGTGAATCAAGTGGCTTGTGGTGGAGGGCATACAGTAGTTCTAACAGGTTGGTACCCAAAGGAATTTTGGATTGATTTCGCCTGTTTCTCTGTCTTGGTAAACAAGAAACATGTATATTGATAGGCTAGAATAACTTTAGACTTTCAGGTAATCTCTAATATGTGTTCTGGTCTGTTGTAATAAAAATCCTTTTGTGTTATCTATGGTTAAAATAGCTTTTGTTGCTTGTATAAAAGGGTTAAAAGATATAGGAAAAAAGTAAAACTACTGTCATTTTGAGTATCATTGTAACCATAACTGTATTTTAATTACTATAAATTTGACGCGGGCTGTTTTGTGGCCTAGTTTTTCAAAGACAAAAATGTTTTAAATGCTTTTTTAAAAATTCAGTGTGTCTCTTATACATATCTGTATGTATAGACCCATATCATCACTTTTATCCCTACTTAATATATGATGATTATGATTTTTATTTCTATAATTTCTTTATTTGGAGAAGCTCTATGTCTGTATTGTAGTAATCTTGGATCTACTTAATATTTCTCCTTGTTAAACTTGGTTTGTAGTGTTCGAATGAAGGATGCTTTAGAACTCAGTAGTGTCTTTTCTCTTATATTTAACATATAGGAAACATTTGTTTAATCGTTTTATGGAGCTTACACAAAAACATTTGAAGAAGGGTCATGTCACGGCTGTGTTTGGTTTTAAAAGACATGATCAAAATGTTTTAAAAATGTCTTTGTGTTACCTGTTTTGGCTTATGAATTTACTTAGTAAGATTTTGTCACCTTTTTGGGGGGGTGCTTTGTAAGCAATACACCTTTTTTTGTCCATTTGCTTACCCTTTGACAAAGGAATAGAATTCTTTAATCTTTTCAGATTTGGATTTGTTAATCCAGATTCTACTGGATGAAGTAAAATATTTCACTTTTTGAAGGTCATTAACTTTTAGTTAGTAGATTCATGTAATAAAGGTTACTTGTCTAGTAAGAGTAGTAAGGGCAACTAGGTGGCGCAGTGGATAGAGCACCGGTCCTGAAGTCAGGAGGACCTGAGTTCAAATCCGGCCTCAGGCCAAACACTTGACACTTGCTAGTGGTATGACCCTGGCAAGTTACTTAACCCCAATTGCCTAAAAAAAAAAAGTGTTAAAGAAAAAAAAGAGTTAATGTAACTTCTGAAGTAACTTCATACTCTTCTTGGGTTATTTACCAAACTGCATGTAGCCCATTATTTTAATTGGACTTAAAATTGAGCAGAAAAAGAGGAGGTTGAATTTTGGAAAATTACAAATTCTACTCATGATATGCTGTTCTCTGAAATCAAAGTCCGTTAAGAATTTTTTCTTAAAGTACCAATATCTCAGTTATGGAAATTAGAGAATAGTGCAAGACCTTTATGGAATTAAAGTGAGAATTACGTAAAAGGCAATGGAGAAACACATGATGGACATGAATAGGCTGCAGTACATTATAAGTGAAGAATTATGTGAGAGAAGCAATGTAAAGGTTGTCTTTAGGGAAATTTTTGACCAAAAGTAAAAGTAAGGTTGTCTACTGGTGTTTGTGCAGTGTTTCCAGAAGGCAAAAAAAGCCCTTCATAGCCTGGGCAACCCTTCTTTGGTGGATTTATAGAATGGTGTGCGCAAGAGCAGCACAGGATGAGCAGACATGGGTGGGTTGCTTTTTAAGGGAACGTGAAGAGGAAAGGAAATAATTTGGGGTAAAGGGTGATTTTCCCTGTTTTTTGATATATCACGTTCTAGTTTATTCTTTCATTTTTTTACCCTTGTTGAATAACCTTTAGTGATTTGAATTGGTAGTACTTTTTCTAAAAAATAATTTTTAAAATTTAGATAAATTTTCTTTCAGAAGTAAATTATCTTTTGTTTTTGTGTCACCTACATTTCCCAATATTGACTTCTAATCTCCTTTGTCCCTCTACCAGAAAGTCATCCCTTATAACAAAAAAAAAAAAAAGTAAAAAAAGAAAGCCAGGAAGATGTCCTCTCAAATTTCTTCTTTTGTGCCAACCTTGGTCATTATAATTTAACAACATTTCAGTTGTTTTTTTTTAGTTTATTCTTTCCATTTTCATTGTAGTTATTGTGTATATTGTTTTCTTGGTTCTGCTTACTTCACTTTGAATCTATTCAAAACTTCCCATGCTCCTCTGTATTCATCATAAAGCACAGTATTATTACATTTCATATACCACAACTTGTTTAGCTATTCTCCATTTGATGAGCATCTGTCTACTCTGGTGGTTGCAGTTCCTTACTGCTACCTTTATTTGTATGTATTGTCTCCCTCAGTAGAAGGTAAGTCCTTAAAGGCTTAAGTATTAAATATATATCACTTTTCAGTTGAAAAATGACCACTTGAAAAATAGGAATTACAGTATTCCTTTACCCTTTGAGGTGAAGTTACTTGTGAATCTTAGAGATCATAAAAAAAGAAGCCTTTTTTTTTTTTTTTCCTGAATCACTAGCCTAAAAGAAAGAGCCTGGATCCAGTGATCTTGGAGATACTTCCTTGCTTTGTTTTTCTGTATTTTTTTAAATTCCATAGTAACATGATTTTAAAATCTTTGTTTTTTTATTAAGATAATTTAATATCTTAGGAGCAACATGGTATAATGGAAGTCCTACTTTCTTGCTTCTGATATATATTAGCTCTATGACCCTGGGAAAGTCACTAGGTGTCAATCTGCATTGGTAGAGGGAGTTTAATTACCTGGAAGTTCCTATGCCAGTGAAATTATAGGTCCGGTCCCTATCTATATCCTGTATTATAGTAATAACACTAAAATAATTATGGCAGTAGTTTTTATTTAAAATAAATGTAATATATACATATACATGTATGTATGTGTATATATATGTATATATGAATATATATGAGAATGACATATCAGAGAAAAGTAGACCTATAGTAAAGGACTACATTTACAAGAATTTGTATCTTTTATAACTCTTATTATTCTCAGATAAATACAAGTTTTTGTAGAAATCCTGCTAACATGTTAGACAAGATCAGGCTCATGCCCTTGGCATCAAAAAACTTGATTCTTTTACTGTTTCTTCCAGATTCCCTTTGTCATTGAAATTTTTAACTTGGGTATTGGATCTTCTTTTGAATGTATTTCTAAAGAATAGGACTTAGTATTTTTTACAAAATATTAAATGTCTATAATAATCCATTTTTTAAGTTATGATATTCATTATATTGATTGTTCTTATTTAAAGCTATTTAAATTTTTAAAAATTTCTTTTGCTCCTTTCCATCTTCAGAGGAAGAAGTATATACATTTGGCCTTGGACAGTTTGGTCAGTTAGGTCTTGGCACTTTTATATTTGAAACCTCACAACCAAAGGTTATTAAACATCTTCAGAATCAGAAAATACGTTATATTGCATGTGGGGAAAACCATACAGCTTTAATATCAGGTAAGGATTCAGTGTAACGATATATTTTTTATCTTAACACTATGATAAAATGAATGTTTCTGTATGATAATTGTTCACAGGAGTCATGATTGAGACAAATACAATTTTCAGGAAACACTTTTCTATTATCTTGATACTCAAATATTTTAGTTATAAGAATACTTAACCTTTTTTCTATTTTATTTAAAATAGGAATACATAAAGGGTTAGGGTTGGGGTTATGTACTCTAAAAAATCCAGATACATAGTGTATACAAGAGGGAGGCTGGTATACTAGAAATAGAATTGGACTTAGGAGTCAGAAGATCTGTGGTCCAGGCTTGCCTCCAAGTAACACTTGCTGCATAAAGCTTTCTGTGTTCCTCTCTATTACTAATAACTTTTTGACTCAAACCTCACACAATACTTTATTTTGCATCTTTCTAATGTACTTATATCACATCATATGTTGTAGTAATATCTCTTGGTATCTTTCCCCCTTACTAGACTGTTGGCTCCATGAAGTTGGGGCTGATATCTTATCTAAACTTTGGATCTTTCCCAGTTCCTATTGAATAGCACACAGTAGGCTTGTTAATTACTTAATAAATTGAAATTCATTGAACTCAAAACAGGCAGTTAAAAAAATCAATACACATGCACCATTTTGCACCCTTTGCTAAGTTTTACTCTGATGACTCATCATGGTGTGACCCTGGGTTGTCAAAGTCTGTACAGTCTTTTAACCAACATTTTTTTAAAAGCACCTTCTATATGCATGGCACTGTGCTAAGCTCTGGGATTCAAAGAGCAGTCCCTGCTCTCAAGCAGTTTGCAATCTAAGGTTGGAGACAGAATCCAAACAGTTCTGTGCAGACAAGCCATGTACAGGGCAAATTGGTGGTAATCTCAAAGGAAACCATTATGATAAAGGGGAACTGGAAAAACCTTGCAGACGGTGAGACTTTAGCTGCGAGTTGAGGGAAGCCAGGAGCAAACATGAGGAGAGAGTTCCAGGCATGAGGAACTGTCAGTGAAAATGCTCAGTCAGAAATCATCGTATGCAAGGAACTGAAAAGAGGCCAGTGTCACTGGATCACAGGGTATATGGCGGGGAGAACGGGAGGGTGTAAGGTGTAAGAAGACTGGAAATGTGAGAAGAGGACAGGCTATGGAAGACTTTAAAAACTGAACAGAGGATTTTATGTTTGATCTTTGAGCCAATAGATTCCCTCAGCTTTGAATTCTAGTAAGCAGGTCACAGGCTTAGATTTTTACATTAGGAAAATAGATTTAATAGCTAAATGGACAGTGTATGGGGCAGGGTGGGGGATGGGGAGAGTCAAAATTTCAAGAAATAAAAAGAGCAAGAGGGAAGGAAATAAACTCATGTATATGTTTGTTCATGAGTCATGAGTTCTGGCAGTTTCTACCAAGTGAAAAGGCTTGAAATTCAAGCTGGTGAGATACTATATGTCTTATTCAGGGATCAGCCTAGCTTAAGTTTGGAGAGGTTCATCACCAAACTGGCTACAGAGATGATGGTGATGACCAGAACAATCTTTTTTTTAAATTTTACAATTTTATTGATGCTTTTTCACCCTGCATTGTTGCCATTTCCTAATTTACCCCTCCTCCCAAAAGAGCTTATTTTTTAAACAAAGTACAGTTAAGCAAAACAAGCCAACACATGTCTCTCATGTCTGAGAGCCTATATCTCATTCCATACCTTCAGTCCACTACCTTTGCTGAGTAGAAGCAGATATGTATATATGCCATCATCATTTCTCTGGGGTCAAGATTGGTCAATGTGCTGATATGAGTTTAATGATTTTTTAGTATTGTTTTCTTGTTCATTATTGTGATCATTGTGTATTTTGTTCTTTTGGTTTTGCTTTCTTTGCTTTGCATCAGTTCATATAAATTTATTCATATTTCTCTAAGTGCTTCATTTGTGTTATTTCTTATGGTGCTTACTGAGACATGGAATTCATTGAACTCAAAACAAGCCGTTAAAAAAATCAATATGCATGCATCATTTTGCATGAGCAATGAGCATGGTGTCATGGATAGAGAACTGGCCTTGAGTCAGGAAGATGCATGTGGGTTTAACTCCTACCTCTGACGTAACATTAACTGTGTGACCTTGGCTATAAACTGATTCCTCTATTCTGGAAAACAATTTGGATCGAGACAGTAAAAGTCACTAAACTGTTCACACAATTTTCCTTGATGCACTGATATCACTACTGGATATTATTCAGGGAGTTTAATGACAAAAAGAAAAAATCCTGTTTAGACCAAGATATTCATAACTGTGTTCTGTGTGGCAGCGGAAGACTGGAAACAACATGGATACCCATAGCTTAAGGAATAACAAAACTGATTGTGACATATGAATGGAATGGAATGTTATTAAGAACCATTTTTGGGAACAGACCTAGGATTTTACCAGTGTAGGGAGCCCCCAGTAAAAAAATTCTTTCTTCTAATGTAGATCAGCACTTACTTTTCAATAAATAATCTTAGATAGTTGGATCTTATTGCCAGATTAAGTGTGTAAAATGCTGGTCTAAACCTAATTTTTGCCAAACTCCTTTCCAGTATTCTCAGAAGTTCTTGTTGAATAATGAATCCTCCAGAGCAACTCTTTAAGGTCATTTGTAAGTTATAGAGAGATTGCAATCTTCATTGGTAGAAGGAGTATTTATGCAAAGTATTTGAGTGTTACAATGTGCAAAGCAATATGTTGCAGGACTCTTCTGGACTTTTTCCATCATGCCCCCATGCGTCACTCTTTCTCCCTCCTCTCACTCCCTTTCAACTTCCTTTTTGTGTGTTATAAATTTATTGAGGTCAAGGACTGTCTTTTTTGTATTTGTATTCCCACTGTTTAGCACAGTGCCTGGCTCATAGTAGGTGCTGCTTGTTGTTTGGTCACTTTAGTCACGTCCAACTCTTTGTGACCCCATGTGGAATTTTCTTGGCAGAGATTCTGGAGTGGTTTGCCATTTCCTTCTCCAGTCCATTTTACAGATGAGGAAACTGAGGCAGATGGGGTTAAGCAACTTGCCCAGTCACACAGCTAGTAAATGTGTGAGGTCAGATTTGAACTCTGGTCTTTCTGACTCAGGCCCAATGTTCTTATCTGCTACACCACCTAGCTGCCTCTATCACATAGTAGGTACTTAGTAAGTGTTTATTGACTAACGGAGGGAGAGATATAAAAATAAATAAGACCATTCCTTCTGTCAAAGCAATCAAAATTGAGTAACTTCAATTTCTTCATCTACAGAATAGATAACTGTAACGGCCTTGCAAGGTCATAGAGAAGATTAAATACAATGATACTATACAAGTGCTGTTACATGGAAAAAGGAATCATATTTATTTTGTGTTGCTCCAGAGGGCAGAATCAGAACTGAGAGGTAGAAGTAACTGCAAGGCATATTTTGGCTCAATATAAAGAAGTAGTTTCTAATAATTGTAAGTGTCCAAAAATGTGATACCCTGCTTGTAATTTGTTGACTTCTCTTTTACTGCAAGTGTTTGAGACCTACAAAAATCATCTCTTAGAGGATATTATAGAGTGATTTTCTGCATTTGGTGTGAAGTTGTAGTGAATGACCTTCCAACTCTTAAGATTTTATGGTTCTGTGAATGTCAAAGATATCAATGTTAAGACTTCATTCTAAAGCTTTGATAGAACTCTTTAGGTTTTTTTGAAATTACTGTCAGTTTTATAGGGTTTTTCCCCCTGTGGCTAGAAAAAACCCCAAGGGGAAATAGAATCAAATCATCTTGGAATTTTAGAGTTGGAAGGGCTTTAGAAATAATCTAGTTCAGACTCTCTTATCAAATACAGCATTTGGGACAACTGGGTATGTGCTATCAATTGGAGAATTTTCCATTCAGGAAAGGTGCTGAATTACTTTAGTTCCTCCACTCATTAGTTCAGTTATTTATCTGGTAAGGACAATTTACACTGGAGAAGAGAATGTTTCATCTCAAGATCAGGGCAGGCTCTTACCTGAGTAATTTCGGACATTGATGTTCTAGAAACTGACATTAGGTAACTGGAAGGGTGAGAGGCGAGTTGCTTATTAGAATTCAAAGCTGAGGGAATCTGTTGGATTCGGCAATCAGAATGCGAGAAAATTAACCCTTTGACCAAAATCATACTTTTTCCTGGAAGCTTAGGTAGTCTTATTCTGGAGGAATGTCTGCCTGGCTTTGGTTTACTTTTTCTGCGGTCCCAGACAGGGACTGCTGACTCAGCCACCATCTCTGGGTTGCTGACTTATGCATCTCACATATAAATAAACAGAAGTACCAAAATGTAAATTGCCTACAATTATCCAAAAAAGTAAGCATTTATTATCCTATTATGTTCTAGGCATTATGCTAGATGCTGTGGATATAAAGAAAAAATGAAATAATTCCTGTCTTCAAGGAGCTTATTGGGGAAGACCACCACACACACACACACACACACACACACACACACACACACACCCTTTATGTATGTATATGTGTGTATATGTGCAAAATAAGTGTATAAATACAAAGTAATTGAGGAGGGAGGAGTCATTGGCAGCTGAGGGCTGGGGTAGTAGGGGAAGGGAATATCAAGAAGGGCCTCATGTAGAAGCTGGTGCTTAAGCTGTTGCTTTCTTGAAGGAAACTAGGAATTCTAGGAGGTAGAGGTGAGGACAAGGCCTGTAGGAAAGCCTGTACAAAGGCATGTTGATGAGAGATGGAGTGTTGTTATATGTGATGAACAGCAAAAAGGTCACATTGACTGGACTATGGCATTTTCTAAGAGGAGTACCATGTAATAAGCCTGGAAAGGTAGATTGGAGCCAGGTTGTAAAAGTCTTAAAATGCAAAGTGGAAGAGTTTATCAGTCACACTTTTGAATGAGAAGATTCAGAATAAAACCCTTCATCCCTCATACTCTTAACTTTGGTAAACTCGTTTACTTCCAAAGCTTAAAATGTACTCCTTCTATTCATGTGATT